TTTACTGCAGACCCATAGATGACCTGAGTTTGGTCCCTGGACCCCACGTGTTGGAAGGAGAGAACTGACTCCTGAAAGTTAGCGTCTGACTCCCACATGTGCTGTGGCATGCACACACATCCACAAAGGCACACAACAAACAATTTTTTATAAAAAAGAAAGGAGTCACTGTTTGAACTGAGTACTGAATAACTCACATTTTTAAACTGGAGGTCAAGATGAAACAATAGGCTGGAAGTAATTTTGATAAGAAGAGCTAAGGATTAAAAACAAAGGGAACTTAATATAGTGGGGTATGCTTCTAATTCTAGCACTTGTCGGTAGAGGCAGGAGGGTCAGTAGTTCAAAGTCGTCCTTGGCAACAAAGGGAGCGCAAAGCTGGCACTGGCTACTTCACACCCTGTCTCAAAAAACTAAGATTCGGACTGGAGAGATGGCTTAGTGATTAGGAGCATGTACTGTTCTTTTTTTTTTTTTTGGTTTTTCGAAACAGGGGTTCTCTGTAGCTTTGGTGCCTGTCCTGGAACTAGCTTTTGTAGACCAGGCTGGCCTCGAACTCCCAGAGATCCGCTTGCCTCTGCCTCCCGAGTGCTGGGATTAAAGGAGCATGTACTGTTCTTGCAGGGAACCTGAGAGTCTAGTTCCTAGTACTCATACCGGGTAGGTCACAACTACCTGTAACTTAGAAGAACTGGCCTTTTAAAATTGGTTTTAACCAGGCTCGGCTGGTGGAGAACTACATTGCTCTCGCAGAGGATATGAGTCTGGTTCCCAGCACCCACGCCAGGCAGTTCACAACTACCTATAAATCCAGCTCTGGGAGAGCAGTGCCTCTGGCCTCTTCTGGTACTTGGATTCATGTGCGTATACCTACACACACAACTATGTGATTAAATAAGTAAAATCAACAAAAACCATGGCAAAAATAAAACAGAAAAAAAAACCCAATATCAAATTGCTTTGTCATAATACCATCTTAATTGTAAATTTTTTTCTTTTTTTTCTTTTACAGATTCTGTGTCATAAATACCTTATTGGTGTGTTGGCCTATATGACGGAACTGGCAATTTTTCAAATTGAGTGAATTCTAGTATGGACTCTAAGTGATGCATTATAAACCCTTTCAGTTACTTTCTGAGTTGCTATTCCAAGTGGGACAGTGGAAGAAATGTAGCACCTGTTTTCTCATGATGCCTTTGGAGTTGCCCGGGTGGATCTGAAACACAGCAGCGGTCACTGGTGAGCCATGGTTATGTGCTTGTGTGTCCATAGATCACTGTGGTCCCGTTATGTATAAATGCTGTAGAAGATGCTGAATTGTTAACATAAAAGTATCCAGCTTAATCAAATAAATATATCTAAAATCTGGCGTTTCTGATTTAGGTTATTTATTCTGTTGGTAAGGCTTGCCTCTAAGGTTCTTTTTTAAGGTCCTCAATTTTCCATTTCCAGATTCCCCTCAGATTTTTTTTAAATTAATTATTATTGATTCTATTTCCACTTTTAGATCTTGAACTATTTTTTATCAATTCTGCTCCACTATTTGTGTTTTCATAGATTTCTTTAAGGGATTTATTCATTTCCTCTTTAGAAACCTCTATCATATTCATAAAGGCTATTTTAAGATCTTTGTCTTGCAATTCAGCTGTGTTGCTCTTCTCAGGGCCAACCATGGTAGGGTTGCTCACCTGTAGTGGAGACATCGTCCTGTTAGTAACATTCTGTTAAACTCATATATCAGTGTCTAACTCATCCAGCGTTGGAGAAGCTTCTTTCTGCAGCAGATAGGGATAACAGAGACCTACAACCAGATGTTACACAGAGAACGAGCGACCTTAGAACACTTAGGCCTAAATTGAATGTTTCCCTTAAGGTTCCCCTTGACCCTCATTCTTAGGGCTCCAGGAACCTTGTGGAAGAGGAGGATGGAAGAGTATAAGAGTCAGAGGATAGAGAACACCAAAAAAATCAAGATTCTCTAAAATTTAGAGTCTAAATCAACATGACCAAAGCTCATATGAACTTGCAGAGACTGAAGCAGGCGCACTGGGTCTGTACCAGGTCCTTTGCAAATATATTATGGTTTCCAGTTTAGTGTTTTGTTTTGTTTTTTCTATGTAACCCTGGCTGTCCTGGAACTCCTCTGTAGGTCAGGCTGGCCTCGAACTCAGAGACCCATTTGCCTGTGCCTCCTGAGTCCTGGAACTAAAAGCATGTGACACCACCACCTGGGTAGTTTAGAATTTATTGGATTCTGAGTGTGTGAATGAGTCTGTTTCTGTGCCTTCTCTTGGCACTGCTCTCCTTGAGTTTGCTCCTTTTGTCCGATTCCAATGTGTTTGTTTTTGTTTTATTATTATCCTTAGAAGCCTGTTTGCTTCATGTGTTTGTGTGTGTGTGTGTTTTCCCCAGATGGTTGTGAGCCATGATATGGTTGCTGGGAGCTGAACCTGGGTCTACAAGAGCAACAAGAACTCTTAAACCACTGAGCCATCTATCTCTACAGCTCCCTTGTGTGTTTTCTAATGAGAGAGGTACATAAAGAAAGCGGACTGGGACAAGAGGGGAGGTAGGGAGAAACTGGGAGGAATAGAGGGTAGGGAAACCATAATCAGAATTGATTATATAAAGGAAAAAGATGTTTTTAATAAAAAAAATTTAAGAATTTTAATCTCTTTAAAAGCATCTTAGATTTGTGTTAACATTCTTCGTTCCTTCCTCCTCATCCTCCTCTTCTTTTGGAGACAGGGTCTCATAGCCTAATCTGGCTATCTAGTTTTAGGGAGGAGCCCAGCCCTGGAGTGCAAAGATTATAGGAGGTGTGAGCCAATGTACTTGGTTTATATGGAACTGGGCATCGAATTCTGGGTCTGGTACACACTAGACAAACACTGACATGTGAGCTACATCCCCAGCCAGTTTTATCTTCTAGACATATTTCTTATGTCATTTTGCTGTAGAGAACTTGCCATCAAAACCTTCTTAAAATTGAGAATAATAAATGGTCTTGAGCCACCAATATATTTTTGTTTTTAATTCAATTGTAGTACTGAATTAAATATATACTTGAAAAATCATCCAGTGTATATTAATGGCATCTTTCAACTAGTGCCTTGGTAGTGTTAGCCTTTGCTTCAGCTCACAAGGCACAAACTTTCAGAATCATATCTAGGACCACAGCGGGAACATCACCTGTGAGCTCCATTACCAGGAAGAAATAATCATGCTTAACCTCATATTTAGACCAGTTCTCAGTAAAAACTCATAGACCAAATACATTTTAATTAAGTCTTTTATTGTATAGGTCATAAGTGAGGTGAAGCAACCTAAGAAACTTGCCTGTGTTATGTCTCAGTGTCATTTTACTTTATGAGCATAAGATTTTGTGTCACATCTGAAGCTTTTTAAAAAAATATTTTTTATGTATTTTCTGTATGAATATTCTGTCTGCATATATACCTGCATTCCAGAAGAGGGTATCGGATCTCATTATAGATGGTTGTGAGCTAACATGAGGTTGCTGGGAATTGAACTCAGGACCTCTGCAAGAGTAGCCAATGCTCTTATTAAACAATGAGCTTTTTTACTTTTATTTATATTTATTTATTTTAGATGGTCTCCTATGAATTTGAGATCCTGCCTTCACCTCCCAAGTGTTAGGGCTATGGGGTACATCACCATGCCCTGTTTCTGTGGTGCTGGGGCTTGAACCCAGGGTTTTGTGCATGCTGGACAAGTACTCTACCAACTGAGCTAACTCACAGTCCTAGGAGCAGTGTTTGTTCAACATTTGTTTTAGATTTTTTGAGGAGTCACTATAGAACCTAGGCTGGCCTTGAATGCCAGGCACTTCCTCCTGCTTCAGCCTTCTCAGAACTGAGATTACAGGTATAACTTGAGGACCTAGGTTCAAATCTTTACTACCCTTATTCAAAGCTGAGTGTGACCCACAAATTTTGGACCTGGATTACATATCAAGGCCTGTCTCAATAAATAATAAACAAAACCCCCCATACAAACAAGACTCGTGTCTGTTGATGGTAGGGATACTTGGTCAGTTTGGTGCTGCCACCTTCATTAGTGTTAAGGCACCAGCAGTTTGCCAGTGAACAGCCAAACATGTAGTTTTACTAAGAAAATTGCTTTAGTTCATGGATACTTTGAAAGAATACTGGAGCTGATACTCTGAGAGCCATTTATCTATTAGCTTAATCAAACTCATTTTGAATGTGAGAGCTTTCTGAAGCTAGGGACTGTTCTGGCTTAGTGAACCCCAAACATCCACTCATCCAAATCACCTCGGGCATGTCCTCTTCCTATAAATTCAGACTCACAGAGACATCTTTTTGTTTTAAAATAGACCTTTGAGAGACATTTCTGATTCAAACTATATCAGTTTTATTGTATTTATTGTAGGCTATGTTTCAGATAACTCAGGTGGTAGTGTGGAATGAAAACAGGCAGAATGGAGCTTTGGGAAAATATGTAATACCAGCCCCATCATTAAATATACAGGCAGACTTCCTTGGTATTCAGATTTAGGTGAGTGTATTAAATGGGTTTGGACTAGAGGATTAGTCCTTTCAGTCAAAGTTGTAGGCCTCTTACATATTTTCTTATTTAATATAGATTGGTTAATATAAAATACACAATGAGAAGTCTTAAATGTCTTTCAAAATGAAGCACTTGAAACTTTATATAAAACTAATGTAAGATACAAAAAATAAAAAAATCCATATAAACAGTAAAGTTATAAGTACCAAATAGCAGTCATTAGGACTGGAGAGATGGCTCAGAAGGTAAAGACACTTGCTGCCAAGCCTGATGAACTGAGTTTGATTCCTGGAATCCATAGGACGAAAAGAGAGGAATGATTCCTACAAATTGTCCTTTGGTGCTGGGGCATGCTCCACCTCACCCCTTACACACACACACACACACACACACACACACACACACACACACAGACACACAATGTAAAAAAGTTAAATTTCAAACACTTTATGGTAAATACCTTTATTTTAAAAAGTTATACATGCTAGAAAAAAGCATAAATGATACATGTAAACAATTGTTTACCAAATACTTATTTTTTCCTTGAAAAAGGTGCAAATGATGTTTAAATGTAAACACAAAAGTTGCCGAACATTTTGTTGTAGGGGAGAGGAAGAAGGTCAAGGTTATTCCTTTTGGTTGTGGATAAGTCTCATTCAAAGGTTTTCCTGCAAAATACACTGAAAAAAAAAAATCAGTCTATGACTACAAAGGGGGAGGACTGTAGGCACTAAAATTTTCATTTATTTCCTTAAAAATGTTAGCCTTTCATCAGAAAGTGCGACCTAAGAGACACAGTACGGTGGCCTTATAGGATGAAAGACTATGAGATATGATCAGCATGAACTCCTGACCGGATTGGATGCTCTGGCTGGCCTGACATCCCTTCACTGTACTGCTCACGTGAACTGGAGACAGCTTCCATTTAGAGCGTGTTACTGAAGGTCAGCTCAGAGTCACCAGCCGGAACAGCCAGCGTAAACTGAAAAACAGAATTCACTTCTGAAGAGAGGTCACCTCTCCTTGGTGGTCCCTACTGACAATGAGAAGATAGGAAAGAAAGTTGCAGGGGGTAACATCTGTGAACAAAAACTCTTACAGAGTTGCACTTGATTTTACCGGAGTTCTCAAGACAAAGGAGGAGACTCACACTGTTTTTAGAAGAGGCACTGAGCAGAGACCTAGGTACAAGTGGCAGAAACTATGAAAATGTTACAGGAAGGAAAGGGAAATGGAGTAGAAAGCAAGTTCAGTAAGAGATGTAAACGTTACCTGGTGAATGAAAACGGTAGCTTGTCCTGCCTTTACGGATTCAATATTCCTTCTGAAGTATCCTATCTAACGAGATGTTTTCTTGTTTTTTCTTTTACACTTAAAAGAAATTTTATTTTGAATTACTCATACTTGTGGGGTACTTGTGTGTTTGTGTGTGTGCTGAATGCACAGGAGTGCAGTTACCTGCAGAGGCCAGAAGAGAGTTCTGGATCCCCTAGCTTAGCGGTTCTCAACCTGTGGGGTCATGACCCCTGTATGTGTGTGTGTGTGTGTGTGTGGGGAGGTGGAATGACCTTTTCACAGGGGTTGTATATGAGATATCCTGCATATCAGATATTTACATTATAATTTATAACAGTAGCAAAAATTACAGTTATGAAGTAGCAAATGAAAATAATTTTATGCTTGGGGGTCACCACAACATGAGGAACTAATTGTATTAAAGTATTGCAGCACTAGGGAGGTTGAGAACTACTGACCTAGCTGCCAGATGTGGGTGCTGCGAATTGAACTTGGGTCCTCTGCAAAAGCAGCACACAACTCGCGCCGGACCATTTCCAGTCCCCTTTACATTTCGGAGTGCTCTAATATTTAGTGCAAGAATAGTAACTAGTGAATATACTTTGTATATCTGTCTTTATCACTGACAATCTTTGTAGATGGATAGTATCTAATCGGAGTTAACCATAGCCCTTCTGCCCATATCAGTATTTTCAAAAAGGAAAGCAAACCTAGAAAGCAAAGTAAATTTTGCAGCTTGGAATTTTTTTCTCCTTTTTGCCCCCTCTGGTACAAAAGATAAGTTAAAAAACAAAACAAAAACAACCCCAAAAACCCAAAACCCAAAACAACCCAACCAACAAAATAAAAACAAATCACCATCAAAACTCCATGATAAATTAAAGCCCAAAATAAACGCTCTCTGCAGAGAGCAGAAAGGTGTTGTGCAAAGGTGGCGTCTGCAGGTGAGTTCTGTCGTTAGATTTGTAGTTCTGTATGTTGAGGCACCGGCAAAGTGAACATTTGTTCTAATGTTTTCTCGAGCTGTACAAAGCTTCAAAGTCAAGGCTCTTCCAAATATAAAGGAGCGTATGCAAGACGTTTTCCTGTGTTCACCATATATGGGATTCACAGTGTGTCATTTTAATAACTCCTACGCCACCTCCTAGCCGACGATAATTCATCCCTCCATATAACCTGCAAAGATAGAAACAAAAGCATAGTTTCTAACTGGAAAAAACACTACGCCTTCTCAACGAAGATGTCACTCACAGCATTTTCAGCTTTATGTAACTCTCCAAAGATCAGAAGCACACTGATCACAGTCAGCAGCAGAATTACTGCAGACCAGAGCTGGAAAGCTCTCCGTGGAATGAGTCCGTCTGCTCACCTTTGTACTAGAGCTTCACACACACATAACCTTATGTTCCACACTTTTGTGTCGAATTTTATGCCTGATATTTATTTTCCCAGACACATTTTCTCTTTGCCTAAAACTTTCTCAATTATTAATTAATGTTTTATTTTCTGAGATAGGCTCTTGCTAGGATCTTCCTAGACCTACAGCTGTGGAGGTGCTGGTATTATAGATATGTATCACTGTACCAGCCTCAATTACTTTTATTTTTTATTTCATTTTATTTTTTAGCTGTTTTTACTCCAGTCTGGTTGCTTCAAACCTGTGGCAATCCTCCTACCTCAGCTTCCAGAGGGTTGGGATTATAGGTATGAGCCACCAAGACAAGCTGCACAGTTTCTCCCTTTTCCCTCCCTCCCTCCTTCCATTTCTTTTTGTGTATCTGTATATACTATGCAAAGGTACACATATGTCTGGAGACCAGAGGTCACCTAAGATGTCATTCTTCAGAAGACGTCAGTCTGGTTTGTTTTTTGAGACCGGGTCTCTCAGTGGCCTGGCACCTAAATAGCAAGCGTGGCTGACTGGTCGGGGAGCCCAGGGGTCTGCCTTGTCTCTGCCTCCCCTGATCTGCTATGTGTCTGGCTTTTTATGTGGGACCTGTGGATGAAATCGGGGCCGCATGCTTGCACAGTATGCGCTTTGCCAATGGCCCTTTCTTTCCACCCCCAGTTCTCTGTGGTTTTTTTCTTGTCTATGTAGCATCATAGCAACATTTAGTTTGTGTGATTTGTGAACAAGATCATCTTCAAAGCTGAAGACTTTCAGAGTAAAAAAAAAACCTACCTCCTCATTCAGCAATGAGATAAAATTGATTTAGGATGTGTACTAGGTATGATAACAGATACCTGTAATCACTGACCATGGAAGCATGAGGCAGGATGATTATCTGAGCTTAAGGCTAACCTTGGCCTACATAGTTCTAGGCCAACCTGGGCTATAGAGGGATATTTTCCATACCTCTAATCCTAGCACTCGGGAGGTTAAGGTAGGAGGACTGCTGTGAGTTTGAGGGCAGCCTGGGCTGCAGAGTGGGCTCCAGGTTAGCTTGGGCTATAGTGAGACCCTGCTTCAAAAAGCCCAAAACAAAAACAAAATTAAAAAGTTTGGGCTGGGCATGGTAACATACACTTTTAAGCTCAGCACTCGGGAGGTAGAGGCGGGTGGATCTCCGAGTTTGAGGTCAGCTTGATCTATATAGGAAATTCCAGAACAGTAAGGCTACAGGAGAGACCCTGTCTCAAAATATGAAACAAAACAAACAAAAAACTCAAACCAACTAAAAAGTTTGACATACTTTTTGAAACTACAGAGATTTAGGTATCAACTTCTCTGTAGATTATTTTTTTATATTTATTTATTTATTTATTTATTTATTTATTTATTTATTTATTATGTATGCAATGTTCTGTCTGTGTGTATGCCTGCAGGCCAGGAGAGGGCACCAGACCTCATTGCAGATGGTTGTGAGCCACCGTGTGGTTGCTGGGAATTGAACTCAGGACCTTTGGAAGAGCAGGCAATGCTCTTAACCGCTGAGCCATCTCTCCAGCCCCTCTGTAGATTATTTTTAAGAAGTTTATGAATATTATTCACCATACACCACTAACTTGAGAGATGGCTGCTGATAAAAGTCTATACATAAATCACAGCAACTATGAGACAGGAATAAATGTAGCTATTTCTTAAACTGTGCTCTACTCTGAATTCCCACAGAGAATTGTATAAAGGAAAGAACATTCTGCAAATGGCAGGCTTTTCTTTGTGTAAACCTGCTCTTCTCTGTCCTCACCATTTCATGGGGCTTCCCAGGCCGCCCTTTATAGAAACATTCCTCCCCGCCATCTTAGCCTCCTTCTGAGCTTGCTAATCACACAGCACCTCCACCTAGCATGACACTACAATGCCAGAGCTAGGACTGCAAGGAAGCTGTCTCCTTCACTTTTGCTTCCTCTGGGATCAGAATATTCAGTAAATCTAATGAACTGGTCGTGAAAAATGTAATGTCTGAGCAAAAAGTACCATGTTGTTATTAATCTGACCTCAACAGAGAATCTCAAGGAAGTGCTCTCAGTCTCTGTACAAGGAACTGGAGGGGGTGCCTGCTCAGCATCTGCCTCTGGATTCGGAGATAGGGAGAGCGCTAGAGGTTGAGGTCAGGCTCTCCTCCAGCTAGGCATGTACTCTACCCCTGTGCCCACCCCTGGGCCTGGGGAGTGAAAAGAAACATAAAATCTATAAAATAAAGTTCAATATAGCTAAACTCTCAGAAATAAGGTATAGCTTCCTACCTAAAAGTGAAAATTAAAACAGGCTGGATTTCACAACAGAAGACTCTATAGCAATATACTTTTAAAAGCTAAAGAAGGAATAGGCTTTAAAATATTTTTTTTTGAAAGTAACTACACTTTTCCCCCAGAAATAAGACTTCTCAAAGACAAGAACCTGTACAGACAAACTGAGAACTGAAGGCCCAGGATGTGAGTCTACTAATGTCACTAGCTTATTTAAGCACACCTTTTATTTTCATGGTGTTCTGGTTTCGCCATTAGGATGTGATGAGAATAGAAATGATAGTGTTTTCCTCACCTCTACTTATATAAAACGAGATGATTATTAGAAGAATTTTGGAGTTTTTTATCAGACACTTAACAGCAAATTAAAATGCATTATCGTATCTGAGTTAACTCAGCTCCCTTCAGGAAACCACACGAGGACTTCAGGCCCTGGCCATCCCAGTTTTGGTGGTCATGATCCTTCTCAAGCTCATGATTTGAAGTCAGTAATGAAAAGACTTGCAACATGAAAAGGTTACCTCCAAGTATTGGCATCTGGGTCGAAAACTTCAATGGTCTTCAAGTATGTAGTGCCATCAAAACCTCCCACTGCCATGAGCTGTCCGTTGACCACTGCCAGACCAACCTGTAAGGGCAGAGTGCAGTGGCGTTGAGACAACCACTGGGGAATTCTAACTTTCTCAAACCTCTTAAGGTTTCGTTTTATAGTTTACATGAATTCAGAAAGAAAAAGTAGCAGTAATCTATGACATTATGGGAACCGTTAAATTCTGTATCAAATTACTATACGCACAAGAATCAGAGCATATATTTGTAAAATTTAGAAAGCCATTCACTACACATGAGCGAGAACCTCCAAACTACGACGGAGCCTGCTTTGCTCACTCGAATCCACTTTCTAACATGTCACCCTGCCCAGAAATGTGTTAGAGGCACCATGTTTGGCCTCAGCCCCCACATTTCCCTCTCCTAATGGACTCTATGCTCTAGTCATTCTACTGTTAGGCCCTGAGCTAGCGTGCAGGTGTTAACGCATGTGAATTAAGCCCATCTCCCATGTCCTTCTGTCACATACACTACGACCACAGCACATCTTTACTGCAGGTACTGCAAACACCTCAGTTTCCTTCACCAGACTAAGAGCTCTATAAAGGAGAATTTTGTAGACATTTCTGCCTTCCAAATGAATGGAAAGACAATCAACATGAAGCAGTGAGAATAATAGGAATATAACTAAAAGTCTGTTAAGTTTCCAGTAATAAATGGCCACAGATATGTGAGTCTTTCACTTGCTGGTGCTTTTCGGTGAGGCCCCTTGATTTTTGCAAACCAGATTATGGAGTCCTTAGGGACTGTTTGCTTCTCTTTCCTATTGAGTATGTGTCCTCCACTGAGGAACTCCTGCCATGATTAATGGCTAATGGGTTAGATTTTGCTGTGACAAACATTCCCAGAAGGGAGGATTTTATATTCTACCTTGGATATCTTTTAGTGACAGGTCATTCATTCATGGTTGAGACCATGACAACACTCAGCAGATATGGCCTTCACTGTAGATGGGACAGACTCAAACCAGTTTTGGAAGACTCGTAGAAGGGCCAGATGTTTTACCTAAATATTTGTATTAGTATGCAAAGTCTACTAAGAAAAATAGCAAGAAATATTACATAGGAATAGCTAGTGCTATTACATAGAACATAAATAGAGGGGTAGACAATATAGGGAAGATACCTTCTGGAGAAGTAGCTGATAGAAGATAAATAATAAAAAATAACTACATACTTAAATATATGAATGGATAGAAAATATCTAGCTACTGGAGTTAGAAGCAATCAAAAGAAATATAAGCTATTTTGGTTTGGGGTTCCCCACCTCACTTTGTCTAAAAGCATCTTGACAGCTGAGACAATTGAAAATAAAGCACGTGGAGACCAGCACTTCACCTCCTGGGTGCCCTAGTGTAGCTCACAGAGCATTCCATCTGAACACCCTTCTGTGCTTGTTTACAAAGCTCTCAGCAGCTGGCACTTACTCCACTCCTGCGGGACGTCATGGCCACCACGGGAGACCACTGGTTAGTTCTGGGGTTGTATCTCTCAGCACTGCTAAGCTCTGTAGTGTCGTCTCTCCCTCCTACAGCATAGATCATGTCCTGGTACACTGCACAACCTAGGTGTTTCCTTCGGGTCCCCATAGGGGCTATGGTGTGCCATCTGTTTTCCTGAGGATTGTAGCGCTCCACTGCAGGGAAAAGAAAAGACCAGTAAGTGACCACTCATCTGCTCTCTTCATAGCCACCAAACACGATGGCATTTCTTTTCAGTATAGAATCTGATGGGAACCAGTTTCTTGCAGTCAACTTCCAAGGAAAGAACATTTGTTAAGTTCTAGTTTTGGCTACGTAACTAATTCTGTGTGCTTGTTCTCTTCCAGTGGGGTGGAACTAGATTATGATTTATAAGATCAGTTTAGTACTAAGATTTTATTGTAATAATTAGACAGCGTCTGTTCTCTTGTACTCCTCAAATTACTCGTCTAATTACTTATTCATGGAGTCTTGCTCTGTGGTGCAGGCCTAGAACTCACTACATAGCTCAAGCTGGCCTCAAACTCATGATCCTCCTGTTCCTGCCTCCCAAGTGCTCTCCCATGCCAGTGTCTTTTAAGCCTCTGAAGAGGCATAACGATGAATCTCATGGGTGTGCCACTGACACATCCTTTGATGAAAATACCTACTATGTCTAGACAGAAAAGGCAAAGAAGCTTGTAGTTCTAAGGTTTTATTTATTCTTATATTAAAAGAATTATTTTTTATTAAGGGTAGGTTGTGATTATGGGAAGAAGGGAAGTCATTATTTAGAAAGTAGATTTTTTTCAGTTGTAGCCTACATCTTATTTATTTATCCACTTATTTATTTAATGTGTAAGTGTTTTGCCTTCATGTATGTATGCACACCCTGTGCATACCTGGTGTCCTCAACAGAGCCCCTGGTCATCAGCCACCATGTGGGAACAGAGCCCCTGGTCATCAGCCACCATGTGGGAACTGGGAACTGAACCCAGGTCCTCTGCAAGAACAAGTGCTATTAACCATTAACCCCTGATCTATCTCTGCAGCCTCAGATTTTTTTTAAAAAAAATTCAGTATAAGTTTTTAGCAGCTTATAAAATATATAGAGAAAGAAAACTTGGGGAAACATACTAAAAGTCATGAATTGCATTTCCCTAGAGAGAAAAACATAACATTTTCTTAAATATCAAATACATTTATGAATATATGAGCAGAACAAATTAGACTTAGTGGGTTATTAAAAAAAGAAAAGAGATAAAAGGGAGTGAAAGGGGAGGAGGGAGTAGATCTGGGAGAAGTAGGAAGGTGAACATAATAAAAATATACTGTATGAAATTCTCAAAGAATTAATAAAGATGTTATAGTGAAAATTACAAAATAACTTGAGCTTTTTATATTTTATATAAATGATGCCTTAGGGTTTCTATTGTTGCAAGGAAACACCATGACCAAAGAACAAGCTGGGGAGGAAAGGATTTATTGGTTTACACTTCCAGATCATAGTCCATCACTGGAGGAAGTCAGAATAGGAACTCAAGCAGGGCTGAATTCTGGAGGCAGAAGCTGATGCAGAGGCCATGGAGGAGAGATACTTACAGGCTTGTTTCCCCTGGCTTATTAAGCCTGCTTTCGTATAGAACCTAGGACCACTAGCCCAGGGATGGCACCCCCCCCACCATGGGCTGGACCCTTCCCCAATGCTCATTAATTGAGAAAATGCCTTACAGCTGGATCTCATGGAGGCATTTCCTTATCTGAGACTCCTTCCTCTCTGATGGCTTTAGGTCATGTCAAGTTTGCACAGAAAGCCTGCCAGTGCAGAGGGATTCTCCCCAGAAAAACATGCTGCTTTGGGGACTTAGGCTGCCTTACGGGGAACTAACCTGTGTTGAGTGGAGACGTTCCATCAGAGCCACCTACAGCATATAAGAACCCTCCCAACACAGCCACAGCAACCCCTAGTCTTCTAGTACTCATAGAAGCCACCCGAGTCCACTTGTTCTCCTTTGGATCATACCTGCAGGGAGGAAAAACATTCCTGTTGGCCCAAGTAGTTTCCACAGGCCTGAAATCACAAGAGATATAACGGATACAGAGATTTATCATAGATCTAAAAAACTGTATGGGCGCACACACCTCCTATTCAGTTTTTTTAAAAGCCGTGTTTTGTTATTTGTGACAATAGGAAGAACGTGGAGGACATTTCGTTAAGTAAAATAAATCAGACACATGAAGAAAAATACCATATCTTGAAGACAGAATCTAAATTAGTCTCATTTGTAGAAGCAAAGAGTAGAACGGACTCCTCTCGCAATGAGGGGTTGGCAGGATCAGAGAGATGCTGGTCAAAGAGTAAGTTCAAGAAATCTAAAGTACAATAGTGAGTAGTTACTGTTGAAACTGTTGAGTGTAGATTTTAACTGTTTTCGCCAAAACCCCCAAAGTATGTAAGGAAATAAATCAGTTAATTAGTTTGACTTAGCCATTCTACATGGTTTAAATATTTGAACATATCATGTTTACCACAAATATATTTTTAATCAATTAAAGAACAGATGGTGGGGGGGGCACAAAATGGTAGAAGGAGAGAACCAATCTCTCAAAGTCATCTGATCTACACACACACACACACACACACACACAAACACACACACACATACAAACAAGTACACACATGTTGTCTCTCTCTTTCATAGTAGGCCATTTAGAGATATATAAAAAAGCAAAAGAACTTTGTATATTCATTAAAAAAATGAAAATTATTTTGATTAAAAATAAATCACCTCTCAACAATATTGAGGCAAGAGACACCATCCTGTCCGCCCACGGCATACAGAAAACCTCCAAGTACTGCCACACCAACGCTTGTCCTGCAGGTGCTTGTAGGGGCCACATCACTGCTCCACTGGTTTGTTTTGGGGTCATATCTGCAAAGAACACATTGAGAGCTTGTATTACACTTTAGAGTTTGGCTGTGTTTATGGTATTTTGTGTGGAATAATCTTTTTGTATACTGTGAAGATGTGTCCTTGCCAAGGTGCTTTCTGATTGGTTTAATAAAGAATTGAATGGCCAGGAGCTAAGCAGTAAGAGGTTAGGTGTGACTGCTGGACACACACAGAGAGAAGAAGAGACAAATCTAGGCATGAGAGAGACACCAAAGGACACAGAAAAGAAACAGGAGGTGTAAGACGGAAGAGGTAAAAAGCTACAAGGGAAAACACAGATGAATAGAAATGGCTTAATTTAAGTTATAAGAGCTAATGGAACAAGCCTAAGCCATAGGCCAAGCTTTCATAATTAATAATAAGTTTCCATGTCAGTTTTTGTGAGCGGATGGCCCATATAAAAATTCATTTCAGTATTTGGAGCATATCCTTCTATTTAAGGGCTGTTCTTTCCCTCAAACAGGCTAATAATCAAGCATATGAAGACTGAACTGAGCAGTGCTGGGGATTGAACTGGGGGCTCACATGCTAGCAACTATGCTGCTATAGACCTATACCCCAACCTAATTAACTTTTTAAAATTTATTTTAACATTTATTTTGAATATATTTTTCTTTAAAATATCAGGATGCTACAGAATTCCATTTTAATTCTAGGCTCTTTCCATTTGGATTTGGCATACATCCCTTAGGCTTCTGTAATAAAATATATTATCTACTTGTGCATTTATTTAAATGCAAAAATGTTTATTTACATAATATCACACATTACGAAATTTTCTCCTTTGATGTATTTTTGAGATCTTTTTGTTAATATAAGTATTGATTTTTCCTTTGAACTATTTTGTTATATTGTAATGTGAGATGCACTGTTTAACCCAATTTTTTTTTTAAAAAATGACTTATTTTTATTATATGTGTGTATGTGTATCTGTGTGTGTGTGCCCATGAGTGTAGTACCCACAGAAGTCCAAAGAGGGTGATGGAGCTCCTGAAGCTGGAGCAAGAGATGGTTGTGAACTGCCCAACTGGGTGCATGAAACTGGATTCAGTTCCTCTGTAAAGGTAACAGTGTTCTTAACCACTGAGCCATCTTTCCAGTCCCTTACTCCTATTCTCATTGCTATATTCTTAGGTTGTTTCTGACACTCTGATAATTAAAATCAGGAACTACAAGGCCGAGCACATAGCTCAATAGTAGAGTGCGTATCTAGCATGTACAAGACTCTTAACCACTAAAAAAACCCAAAAACCAAAAACAAAAGAATACCAAGCTGCTCCCTGTGTAGCTATATCCATTTTTACTTTTTAAGTTTTCATTACTTTTTCTTTCTTTCTCGGTTTTTTTTTTTCTTTCTATTTTGGCGGATTCTTTTGCTCTTTAAAAGCATGGTTTGCTTTCTCTCTTTGACACAGGGTATCACTATGTATCTCAGACTGGCCTTGAACTTGTGATTTCTCCTGCTTTGTCTCCCAAGCACTGGGATTACACGTGTGTGCCACCTGTTGCTTCATTTTTCTTACTTTCAAAAGCATGTAGCACTGGGCGGTGGTGGCGCACGCCTTTAATCCCAGCACTGGGGAGGCAGGGGCAGGCGGATCTCTTTGAGTTCGAGGGCAGAGCTAGTTCCAGGACAGCAGGCTCCAAAGCTACAGATAAACTCTCTTGAGAAGCCAAACAAACAAACAAACAAACAACAACAACAAAAAAACAAACCATGTAGCATATCATTCATATGTTTGTCTCTGTGTACTACCTTAGTTACATTTTGTACATTTGGGATATATTAATTTAATTGTTAAGCTATAAATATTTAGTCATTTGCACTTTGATTTATTTTGCCCACTGATTCATGTCTAAGTGTCATTCTACCTGTCATACCCCCCCCCCCAATTTGTAGAGCCAACCCTCTGGTTTTGTTTTTGTTTGTTTGTTTGTTTTTTGATTTTTCGAGACAGGGTTTCTCCGTAGCTTTTGGTTCCTGTCCTGGAATTAGCTCTTGTAGTCCAGGCTGGCCTCGAACTCACAGAGATCCGCCTGCCTCTGCCTCCCGAGTGCTGGGATTAAAGGTGTGTGCCACCACCGCCCGGCTATCTGGTTTTGTTTTTTAGCTATGTCATATCTAGAACCAATATCCAGAACTGGTTACACCAGGTTTTATAGATATGCTATGGAACTATGATAAAATCATTGTAGGTCAACACTGCTTAATGAAAGAGAGTGTGTGGCAATAAGAAACTTAAAAAACTATCACTCACTGTAGAGTTCCAATATGCCAGGTACCTCAACAATTGACTAGTACAACATGTACAAGCATACTTAAAATATTCATGAAAGAGCAGAGAAATGAGTAGCTCATCTGTAGTCAAAGAAGGTTTTATGCAGGAAGTAATATTTCAAATCTTATAAGCCTTAAAGTGTCAAAGCTATTTCAGAGCAGAAGAACAACATGCATATATGCAGGGATTGAAGAAGGCAAGACAATGGCATGTCCAAAGAGTTGTAGCAATTTGTTGTATCTGCAGTTGCAAGCTTAGAAAATGGTGTACATGGGGAAGAGACCAGAAAGATTGGTAGAGATCAGATCACAAAGGTCTTATGTGTCATTCTAAGGAGTCTAGACTGTTAATTGGTCTCACAGATGTAAGACTAAAATAGTAAGTCACATCTGTTTCTTAATTAACATCTCAAACTAAATCATAGGGACAATAGGGACTTTTTTCAAATTATCCTTACCTTTCAACACTATTGAGATAGGAGGATCCATCATGGCCGCCTACTGCATACAACAGGTCATCAAGAACACTGACTCCAACTCCACATCGCCTTTTACTCATGGAAGCTACCATTCGCCACTCATTGGTCTGTGGGTCGTACCGTTCAACACTGGAAATGGCGTCTCCACTACACCAACCACCAACTAGGGAGGGATAGAAACCGTTAAGAGAATACCTGTTCTAAGGTAGACTGCTAGCCTCTCTGTGACCTAAAGCTCTGACTCTCCAAGCACACGGCAGAAGCAGGTCAAGTTATAGTCACCAAAAGTCACCAACAGTTACTGGGCTGTAACCTTGATCTTGGATTTCAGTCTCCAGAACTGCAAGAAATTGCATTTCTTTGATCTGAATTACTATTTTTTTATGGCAGCCTGGGTAGACTAGTATAGTGAGTATGATTTAAAATAACTGCCAAGCCAAGTTCCATTATTCTTTTCTAAATGACCATGGGGGTGGGGCTGTGGTAATGGCAGATATACTAAATTTTGCTTTCAAATCATCCCCATTTCAACATAAAATAAGAGTGATTCTGAAACATAAAAAATAATATTATTTTATGCTAAAAACACTTTGGGAACTACTAGTTTTAAAGGATGTCAAATAAATTCCTGAGCTACATTAAGAGCAGAATAATATTAACTACCTTCTAGATAAACCAAAAGTTCACTTTCTTTATTCCAAATCTCACCGTGATATAATTTTACTCTACTGTTGTTTCACTCAAATTAGAAGAGTCGCCTAGTACTAAACTACAGCAAGTCTTGTATACAGTAATTTGTTTAAATGTGAACTGTGTAATGGGGCATATATAAGGAATTTCAGTATCAGAGAAAACATCCTAAACTCTAAAATGGCCCTAGGCTGGAAATGTGAGGGCTCATAATCTTTGAGATTAACCAATCATTAAATCTCTGGCACAACTAAATAGTGGGAAGCTTAAAACCAGCTTTATAGGGCTGGAGAGGTGGCTCAGTGGTTAAGAGCATTGCCTGCTCTTCCAAAGGTCATGAGTTCAATTCCTGGCAACCACATGGTGGCTCACAACCATCTGTAATGATGTCTGCTGCCCTCTTCTGGTCTGCAGACATACACACAGACAGAATATTGTATACATAATAAATAAATAAATATTTAAAAAAAAACAGCTTTATATTGGACTGATGATTTCATATCAAATTAATGACACCTGGTAAGTGGTATTCTTCAATATCAAAAGGGAAAAAAGGGACCGTTCAGGAACAAAACTTCAATCTTGCCGACTGACTTAGAGAAATTTGAGACCACTATGGTTTTGTGTGCACTGTGATCCCCATGTCAACCATGGATGACATAATTTGATATTAGAGACTTAACTGTGGATCTCCAAAAGTCACATGTTGAAATCAAAGTTCCACTGTGACTGGAGACTGCCTTTAAGGAGGTAATTAAAATGAAATGAAGCCATAAAGGTGGACCATTATAGTAGGATCAATGAGAGGAAAAGACCTCAGAGACTTGTCTCATCCGTTACTCACACAGAGAAAAGGCCGTATGAGGCCAAGGGCACAGAGGAAGGTACTCTGCATGTGGAGGAGGGAGGTCTCAGCAGCAGGCAACACTGCTGGTACCTTGACTTTGGGCTTCAACCTACAAAACTACGAAAAGACAGATTTCTTTCTTTTTTTTCCTTTCAGGTTTTTTTTTTATTTTATTTTTTTTTTATTGAGAATAAGAAAAAAAAGTTTCCGCCTCCTCCCAGCCTCCCATTTCCCTCCCCCTCCCCCCAATCTTCTCCCCCTCCCCCTCTCTTCTCCCCCTCCCC